CCAATGGCTCCTTGGACAAAAACTAACTCTCAAAGATATGGAGTTGGTGAGTTTTGCTGTTTTGTGTGTGTGTGTGTGCATGTGATTCACCTGTGTATTTTAAATGTTTTCTGTGAAGTTGTGTGTGTGTTTATATTCCTGGCGGCCTTCGTATCGGCCGTATATAGTTGTTTGATTCAGTTCCTATATCTCAGGATGTGGGCAGAGACGGATCAGTCAAGCAGCCCAACAGTCACTGGACTAAACAGATTGCAGCATTTTATCATTTTGCACTTGTTTTGCTTTGAAAATCCTCAGTTTTTAGTTTTATGTCTCTATGACGGTGCAGTTAATGCAATACTGATATAGTGCAAAAACAGTTACCTGAACCCCATGACAGCTTCTTACTTAGAGCTTAAAATGCATTGAAAAAAAATTGGCTTCTTTTGGTTAACATCGGTTTATTAAAGTAAAAAATATTAGTTAATGCAACTGAATCAACCTGAAATAACTTCATAAGGGAACTCCTGCACATTTTCACTTTTTACAGTGCTTCGGAGTCGCATCTTTAGCCTGTTTGCTGAATATTGCTATAAGGTTTGTCAGCATTTAATAACACAAGAGGTGCACTGAATATTTAGAGGAGACCTGTGTGAAATAAATACACAAGTGAGATCTCTTTGTTAACTCAGTTGTTTCTCCTAGACAGCAGTGAGAAATTAGATGTGTCTCCTTAGAGAAAGAGACCAGGATCTCCTCTAGAGACTTACTAATGTCTCAAAATGAGCTCATATTTGCTCAGGATACCAAAGTCTGTGAGCAAAAGTCAGAGATCTCCATATGAATATAAATATTTCTCATCAAATGATCTGAGCTGCTATTAACATTCATTTTATTGCTCTATACTCTTACTGTAGGACAACTATGACTCATTTATGCCAGGTTTATTATAGTTAATTAACACATAAAATGTATATTTACAATATAAACATGAAATGAAATAAAATATTAAGCTTATTTTATTTAAGTTAGCAACATATCTCATTTTCTTTTAGTTTAAGTTTGTGTACTGTTTGTGAAAATGACTAAAACTAAAATTTAATTAAAACTTAATAAACCATATAGACATGTTAAAAAAATTAAAATAAGCTAAATAAACTAAAACCATAATAAACATTTCTGTTGCTTGAAATAAAATAAGCATTAACTGAAAAAAATTATATATATATATATATATATATATATATATATATATATATATATATATATATATATATATATATATATATATAT